TTTTTTTTCTAAATTTATTAGGACAATCGTTCCATAAGAGATGGCATCATACCAATATTAATCAAAATATAAACAATTAATATTTTCATTATGTAATGTGTTTTGGCATGTGGGCATAGGTATATGCTATATTAGTAATTAAATAAAATATTAGTTTAAAAGGATGACATTGTGAAAGTATGTTCAACTCCTTTATTTAAAAAAAAATCCAAACTTCTTTTTTAATCCCAAAATCTGGGATTTGCAGAGTGACATACAGGTGAAAAATTGAGTTTTGATCAATGCCAAAGAAATAGCTTTTTAAAAAACGTAATCTAAGTAGTTCAGTTATACTACTGAATTTGAATTTTTTTTAAAAAAAGTTCCTTTTCTTGCCAGCGTTGGGAGTTCAAACATCCTCAGCCTTTCCTGCGCACTCGTGAGTTCCTTTGGCAGGAAGGACACACGGCATTTGCTACGTATGAAGACGCAGCAGAAGAGGTACAAAGCACTGAATGTTTTTAACTACCGTATATACTCATTCATTAGTCCGTTCATTTATAAGCCCACCCCTCAAAATGGATAGGTAAAGCCCTTTCATAAGCCGACCCTGTATTTCAGGGGTTGGAAAACTTTGGCTCCCGGCCCGTCAGGGTAAGCCGCTGGTGGGTCAGGACATTTTGTTTACCTGGAGCGTCTGCTGCCTGGAGCCCCTCAGCTTCCTGTGGCTGCGGTTTGCCGTTCCCAGCCACTGGGAGCCGCGGGAAGTGGTGCGCCACTTCCCGCAGCTTCCATTGGCTGGGAACAGCAAACCGCGGCCACAGGGGGCTGAGGGGGTCCATGGCTGCCGATGGTTCACAGAAACAAAACGACAATGTATTAGATATTCAATTCAATGATCCCATAGAGTTTAAAATCATCAAATTTTGGTGTTGACCTGCTCTTTGATGCGTCACTTCTTTTTTACCAAAAATATTTGGCTTATGAATGAGTATATACGGTATTACTGATCTTTGCTTTCAGCTAGTGACGTGGCTCTAACAGTACAGTATGTATACTTATGAAAGAGAGACAAGGTGGGTGAGATAATATCTTTAGCTGACCAATGGTCACTGCTTCCCAATGTACTTGAGTTAGTTTGCCACCCATTTTTACTGCCCCTCCCCCCCAAGTGTCTGTTTGTACCAGGAGTGCACTTTGCTACAAGAGGAAAATTAGTATCCTGTCTTATTTGTTTCTCCCCAACTATGACATCATTGGGAACAGAGTGGATTTCTCAACCCTTATATCCCAAATTTGCCCCTACTGTA